TGGGCCTGTCTGCAGATGTCTTTGGACAGCATGCAGTTGCAGAGGATGTAGATTTTCAACGTGTCTTCCCAACTGCAACTAGCATGGTGTATGTGATTTCGCAAGGTGCGCGTGCCACCAAGGTACTCACGCAAGACGAGCGGCAGCTGCTACAAGACTTGGATTTGCACTTGCAAGATGCAGCTTGGCACGCTTGCCGCATCTCAGTGCAGCAAAAAGCTTTGCTAATGACGAACAACTGCCGGCTGGTCCGGCGTGCGCGCCGCAAATGGTACCGAAGACTCACAGAGAAGTGCAACACGCACGATCGGCGCGCGGGCTTAGGTTTTGAGGTGCCGCCTGTGTACATCGAAGCAACTAAAGATGCCGATACGGAAGAACAAGAGCCAGAGGTTCTGACTGCGCAGCTGCAGCAATGTTCTCTGCGTTGCGGGACCCTGAACATGCACTTGCTTTCGCCCGGTCCTTGGTTTGAACCTCTTCTTGAGCAGTGTGATGTTATGTTCTTGCAGGAAGTTACAACTCAGTGCTTGGAAGACTTTTGCTTGTTAGGGCAACAAAAAGGTTACGAAGTGGTGTCTCCTCTGCTGCGTGGCCAAGCCCCTGCGGAAGGCTTCGATGTGTGTCTGCTGCTCAAGCACGACGTCGTGCAGAGTCGCCGAGTCACCATTTCGCCGTTGCCGTTACCGTCCAGCAGACGGTTTGTGCAAGTGCATGTTACCCTGCCTGCAAACGGGTGCGCGCTTGTGTTGGCGACGGCTCATTTCACCGCAGGCTCGAATGGGGACAAGGAAAGGGAATGTGAACTGGAAGCTGTTTTGGGGACTTTGGAGGCATTAAGTCATGTAGATTGCTGTGTTTTTGCGGGCGACTTGAACATGCGTAGGGTTGCCGGCAGATGTGTCCTCAAGGTGGCGAGATGCGTGGCAGGAAGATGGCAGTCCGGAAGATCGATGCGGCACCTGGCACCCGGAGGCCGCGCCTGCGCAGGACGCACGAGTCTGCACATGGCGCTTTGATCGGATTCTGACCTTATGCCAGTTTGGTAGCATGGATAAGCCGAGTCCTACGCCGTTGCGGGCTGGGACAGAGGCTGCTGAACGGGTTTCTTTCGCCACTGTAGAGCTGCAGCGTGGACCTTTTGATGTTCAATTTCAATCAGCTGACTTGGATCACGCGTTTGTTTCTGCAACTTTCAATGTCATGCCTTTGGCTGCTGGGGCGCGCGAGGTGTCGAGCGAGTGTTTGAAAGTGTTGCGACCTGGCCTGGGTCCCAAAATAGCGCGCAGACCTTTGGAGCGCGAGAGTTGCACACAGAGACAGCACGCCCAAAGTTTTTGCGGCAAGGACTACGAGAAGCCTCGCATGTTGCCCGGCATGGGCGCCATACTTGAAGATTCCCGCCGCAAGTCTCTGTTCCGTTTGTACACCCGTCGGAATTGCCACCATCTGAACACACACGACCCTTTGAAGGCCATGGGCTTGGTGGCAAACGTGGATGATCAAGTTGCGTTGACGGTGCAAGCCGCCGTCAACTACTTGACCAAGTACTTGGGGAAAATCGGCGGGGGGACACAGCGCACATAGCCGAATTAGTGGTTTGATCGATGACATTGTGTGTCGCATGGGAGATCGTGAGACAATCAATGACCGTTGCATCTCTTTTGTCGAAGCTCTGCATTCACTCGGCTGTTCCGGAGGAAACTTGTTCCCTTGAGGCGTGACATGTTTTGCTGGACCTGCCCCGTGTGCTGTCGTCCAGGTATGTGACCTCGTTGAACGTCAAGGAGGATTCGAATGCTTTGAAAGATTTGGCCAGCGTGGAACTGGCAAGGGTAGATGAGAATGTTGTGAAAAAGAGCAAGGTGGCCCTCTACTTGGATAGGTTTAATATGAGAGCTCAGGCCGATATATCTGCAGCATCCCTGGAAAACATGTCCCTGTTCCAGTTCATCAGTCGCACGGATCGCCGTGGAAAGTCGTTGCATTTGCGGAAAAAAAGCATAATTGTTAAGGAGAGGCCATTCCTGCGCTTGGACGCTCGTCGCAAGGAGGCGGGCGCCATGGCTCGTTTGTGTTTGCGCTTGCATCGACCTTTTCAAACGGAGGGGGATGACCCTATCCATCTCGAGGAAGCATCGGCCGTGACAGAGTTGCGTGCGTTTGTGCAGAGTCCGACGTGCCCAGTGTGGCTGAAGAAAAGGTACGCTAAGCGCAACCGGGTGAAGGCGCTGAGGCGCGCCGATGCAGCTGCGGACAACAGTGAGAGTCACGGTGCGGAGGTGTGTCCCGCCGTGCCTGCCGCCAGCGCAGCGTCGGTCCCTGCCGTAGCCGCCGCGACGATGCCTGCTTCGCCAGCAATCGAAAACCAAGATGGGGTGCGCGGTGCGGAGGTGCGTCCCGCCGCGGCAGCGCTTGTCTCCAGTCAAGCAAAAGCAGCTACCCGCGCAGTCCACGTGATCAACTTGAGCGCCGGGCACAACACGGAAGAGTCTGGAGCGGAGGATACTGCCGAGGGCAATCTGGATCCAAATGAGAAGTTTTTTAGCAGACACACTGTCCAACCGACAGATGATTGCCAATCGTCATGGGTTGTTGTGGATTAGTAGGCCTGGGGATCACCGTCACAGCATCGTGGATGCCGTTCGCTTGCAGCGACCGCCTTTGAAGATGGTGTGTGTCAAACAGTATCTGGAAGCACTGACGGAGACAAAGCCAAAAGGTTCTAAGAAGGTGCAGTTTTTTTGTGGAGCGTTTTGTTTTCTTGATGTTGTACATTGACTTGCAACCCTATGAAAAAAAGAGGAGCCGGTGTTTTCAAGCAGTGCTTAAGCAAAAAAGCATTGCAAAGCTTAGCAAATGCATTTTTCCAGTCACAGGGTTCCGCCGTCACTGGCAAGCAGAAAAAAAAATGTGGTGCTCAAACCTTACGCCGAACTTTGGGAATACATCAAAGCGGAAACCTTGAAACAGTGTGGTTTGGCAGTTTCCTCTTCGCCAGCGCATCGTGTGGGTTTCGATGGACCGGTGAGCATCCCGCACGCCGAGCTCAAGACGGGCGCATGGCGACAGAGTGTGTTTCGCTTGGAGCCCCATTCTTTGGAGCATGAAGAATGGGAAGATGCTGCCGACCGGGAAGCAAAGAGGTTGCGGTATGTGCAAGCTGCAACGCATGAACAGAGCACGGGTCGGCCGGGAAAGAGAATACACGAGGTGTCGTTACCAGTCGACGCAGATGCTTTGATGTGCGCCGACTTCGATACTCGGGCCGAGTGGGACGCTTTGAACCCTTACTTGGACAACGTCCGTGCCCAGTGGCTGTGTCCAGAACTCGCCGTGAAAATTTGCCCTGAGACCAAGGGATATGTCTTGAAGCCGACGCAGGGGGGGTCTTGCGCACACCGAAGCAGAGCAGATTACTGTTCACCAGGCTAGGACAGATCCTCGTCAAGCACTACAGGCCCTGCGTTGGATCCGACGCAAAATTCGTTCGTGCAGCACATGCGTGCTTGGATGCTCGCGTACACAGCGGCGCATGGGGTGTGTGAAGCCAACTTGCCCCTTCCCCAGAACCTGCAAGGGCCCCTGCTTTTGAATGAACCAGTACTCTTGCTAGGAACGGCAGGCACGGGCAAAACGACACCTTTGCAAGCTGCAAACCAGCTACTTGAAGCTCACGGCTTGAAAGGGCGTATTGTTCGTTGCGCCTACACTGGTGTCGCTGCAAGCAACATGGGCAGCGGAGGTCGAACGCTTGTGTCGTTGTTTCGCTTGAACAAGCGTAAATTTGGAGGAGGTTTGGAACCGTTGTCGTTTGAAGATCTTCGTGCCATGGACGAGGAACTGAGAGGCATGTGCCTGCTTGAAATCGATGAATTGTCCATGACCGAAAAACTGATTCTTGCGCACGTGCATCAGCGCTTGTAGCAGTGGAGAATGGAGCTGTATCATGATCGGCATTGTCGCAGTCGCGCGGAGGTGTGTCCCGCCACTGCTTGTGTCTGCGGTGCCAGATTACCGTTTGGTGGCGTGAAGGTAGTGCTTGCAGGCGATTTTGGTCAGTTGCCCCCCGTCGCAGCGCCGCCCGAACGGACGCTGTTGTGTTCCAAGGCAAAATCAGTAGGCCAAGATCGGCACGATGTGAACCTTGGCTTGCGGTTGTTTCAGCAGATTCGGGTCGTGTTTCGACTTCGACGGATTCACCGGCAGGTGCATGGGCCAGTCACTTTACAAGGAATCCCTGTTGCGATTGCGGGACGCAGCGCACACGAAAGAAGATGTTCAGCTTTGGAAGTCGCACGATTTGACTGATGTGGCAGCTTGCACTTTGACCGTGGAGGAACGGAAGTTTTTTCGAGGGCAAATGCGTGCACTTGTTTGCGAAAACCGTCGTGCCGGACAATTCAACGGCCGACGTCTAGGCGAAGACGTCGCAGGCAAAGAAAACTCTACCATTCTTCGTGTTTGGTCCAATGACAGTACTCCTGGAGTGGAGCGTTACACCAGTGAAAATTATGGAGGTTTGAAGCGGGCGCTGCATTTGGCGGAAGGGGCTCCGGTTATGTTGACCACGAACTTGCGGACTGTGGAACTTCCTGGGGGGGCCATTCGATCACCAATTTGGTGGCCATTTGCCTCCCGATCACGTTTTCAAAATT